GGGAGTAAGATTTCACAACTGTCATATTGAAATTTCAAGAGAAAAATCAAAATTGTGGATTCACTGAATTGGGCTTCAAACTGGGCTCAAAAGCCCATGGAAAGCTTCTATATATTGAGTGGGGTGAGTTCAGACTCATTTTTGGTGATGATTTCGTGCTAGAAGCTGAGATAGCAAGTGGAGTTTCAAGAGATCCAAGTCAGAATCGGTTTTGGATTTGCAAGCACCATCAGGCCAAATTAAAGGTTGAAGAAGCTCCATAGTGTATCACTGATCGTGTCTGAAGAGTCTTGAAGCTTGAATTGAGCATTTGCTACTTCTGTTGATCCAATTTTTCCAGGTATGTAAATCTTTAAATTCCTCACGATCTAGGAAGAATTGAGTAGAATCTTGCATGTGGTGAGGACCTAGGTTGATCATATATCGTTTCTGGATGAGAATTTTAGTGTTTAGAGACATTTATGTGTGATACACCATTTCTGTTCGAAGACGGTTATGGATAATCTTGAGGTTTTGACTTGAATTGGATAGCCATTAATAATCAGTGCAACAAGAGGAAGGGATCTGTGGCTTTAGTTTTGGATTTAGTGTTGATCAAATTCTTGGTGCCATTTCTGTTTGCTTTCGACTCTGCAAATGTGGTGAGATTTAGGTGATTTGGATTGGAGATTTGGAATCCTTGTTCAATTCTGGTCAAGATCGATATTTAGCTTGTGTTTTCTGATCACCTGCAACCATCATCTCACCGGAGAAGATGGTGGTTTCCACCGTGGACCACCGCCTGGAAATATCTCAGGTCGCCTGAGCTTTTGGAGAAGATGAAGTCTGAGACGTTGGATCAGTCTCCAAGTTGGACTTATTACACAGATCGTGTGGCCATGATTTAAACTCAGCTTTGCCTCCAAATCCTTGAAACGCATCGTTTCATTAAACGATGTCGCACGCCAGTCAGATCCCAGTTAGCATCACATGTGAACGCGCTCTAAGCCATCTGATCTGCATACTTAGTCAATGATCCAAGGGCGTGTGTTTATTTCAGCATTTTATTTCTTTTTATTTGATTTTCTTTTATTTTTAATGCATCTTGATTCTAAAATCCATAATAAATAGGAAAATTAGTCTTTTTAATCCAGATTTTTTTCCTGAACTCCTTAGAAAATGTAGAATTTAATAGGATTGAAAAATAGTTAATTCATGCATTTTATATTTTATTTTCATTTTTTGCATTTTTATTGGTTTTATTTTCAATTTGTTTGACATGTGTTCTTGCTGATTTTATTGTTAATGATTGGTGATGAATTTTGAGTTGATTCTTTTTGGGATAGATAGCTTAGGGATGCATGTACCCATAGTAATTTTCTCATATTTTTGTGATAGAATTTTAGGCTAGTTTGAGCATTAAACATTAGGTGGTTTAGAATTAGGGTTTTAAGATGATACCTTTAGGTTTAAGGCATAGTTTTAGTTCCAAATGAATGGTTAACCCCCTGGTTTTTGTATGAGAGATTCATAAGAGGCTTAGGAACCCTTAGTAATTTTTGTAGGATTTTAAAATCATGTTTGGTATTTTAAGTAGAATTAGTTTTAAGACTAACTTCTAGGTGTTTCTGATGACTAATTTGGCTAGTTTGATTTAATAGTTCCCCTTAGAATAGGATGGTGATGCTCTTGTGCTTGGATAATAATGAAGACCAATGGAAGATGCTTTGGAGAGCTTGAAGGAGCTTGGGGTTGAAGATTTTCTCATCTTGTGGAGTGCTTGTCAGGAGCTTAGGAGAACTAGGGTTTTAGGAAGAGCATCAGAGTAGTTCTACTTGTTTCTTCAAACATGGAGTATATTGTTCATCTCCATTCAATCCAATGACATAAAGTCCTTTTAAAGAAGTTACATCTCTCCTTAGGAGGGATGAATGGCATGCTTTAAGAGTAGAACTTTGAGGATGCCAGTCTCTCATAATGTTAAGTTCTCAGTGACTTCCCTTGGTTGCCATTGAGCTTCTTAACATTCCAACTTGATCTTGTTGGTTTGATTCTCCCTTGGAGGTGCTTGTTGAAGCTTGGTAAAGGAAAAGATGAGGTAGCTTGTTGAAGCCAGGGTTTTACTGCTTCTTGAGGTTGATGTCAGGAGCTTGTTGAGGCTGGTTACTAGTTAGGGTTTGAGCTTGCTTAAGCTGGGAGCTTGTTGAAGCCTGGTGCCTAGTGAAGATTGAAAGTTTATTGAAGCTTGAAGATGGGAGTTATTCATGAAGATGAGAGTTGTTACTGTCAACTTTTGCTGGTTCATCAAACTGTTGCTGTCAGAGCTGCTGCTTGTGCTGTCAACTGTGGAAGTTTGATGCTGGTGCTTGGGCTGCCTCCTCTGTTTTATTTTGGTTTTTTTTTTGTATTGTTTGGTGGTTTGTGTAGCTTGCCCCTAGGTTTGAGTTAGAGCTTGTCTCCTCTTGCCTATTGTCTTCTCTCTTGCCTCTCTTATATTGTTGCATTGCATGCATTTTACTGTATTTGCTTGCTTTCTTTTCTGTTTATCCCCTAGGATCTCTGATTTCCTCTGTGCAAGAGGAAATTATGACAGACATTAGGATTCTTATCCATGCATGACAACATTAGGTTAGTTTCCCTTGCAACCATAGTGTTAGGGTCTTTCTCTTCTTACCTCAAAACACTTCAAAAAACACAGTAATAAAGATAACGCGTGCTGTACGCTACGAGCCTTAAGCTATTTGGGAAAAGGTTGCTGGAGGGTCACTCTTCAGTAATCTGGCTGCTTAGTATGGTACCCTTAGGGTGACATGCAACGTAGTCACTCCCAGGTCACAAGTCTTTAGTGCAGTACAAGTTGCAAACAGACTAAAAAACACTTCTTTCGTAAAAGATTCAAAACAAACATCAAAGTGTCATTTTTGTCCGCTTGGACTCTTAATCAAGGAAAACCCTTTTTGAAGGTAATAAAAACCAGTCAGACAAGCTTGTGTCTTCCGTAGCCTGAACTACGTTTGCTCTGATCTTTCATGCTGTATGAAAGTACGTAGGCATAGGATGTCGTATCCTAGCGAGCAACCTTCCCCCCTTTACACGTAGTTAGGCGAACTACGTCGACTCTGATTTCTCGTTTCAGACGGGAATACCTAGGCATAAAGTGCGATACTTTGCCGAGTCATTTTCTTTTCTTTTTAACCCAGACCTGTAGAGTAGATAGAGTAACATACCCTTAGATAGAAAACAAACGTGGATCCCGTCGAGTACGATGGACGTGAGGGGTGCTAATACCTTCCCCTTGCGTAATCGACTCCCGAATCCAGGATTTGGTTGCGATGACCATTCCTTTCCCGTTTTGCGTTAGGTTTACTCTGAGCGTTTCCTTTCCCTCCTTTGGGATAAATAACGCACGGTGATGACTCTTCTGTCATAGCCAGCGCCGATTTTCGCAGTAGCGACACCCTGCAAAAGACAATGTTATGCAAATGCAAATGCTAAAGAGAGAAATGAAACATAAGTCAAGTAGAGAAAAAGGTTGGGAAAATTTTGGGGTACAACACAAACCAACACCTTCAATTCAAATCTTCATCGAAACCCCTTCAACTCATCCCAAATCCAAACTCAAACCCTCCTTCACACTGAAAACCTTCTTCAACCCATGTCAGCCTTCAATCATTATCAAGCTCACTCTTTTTAACCTTCATCTTTGTCGAATCTTCAACCTAAATCCCAAACCAACAACTTAAACCTTTAATCCAAAATCATTCCCAAGAAAATTCGAAAGTAGAGAGAGGAATATATGATAGATTTGAGGAGAATAGAGAGCACTGAGAAAAAGATACCGTTACCTTCCTTCCTTGTTTCAACTCACACCAAATCCAAACCTCCATTTTCATTCAATCCTCCTTCCATAAATATTTCTTTCTCTCCAAACCCACAACTCGAAATCAGAACAGATTCACAGCTAGAACAACAGAAGAGAAGAATTATGAGATGAAGATGAAAGACTGGTTTTAAAATGAGATGAAAACGAAAAGAAATCTAACCTAAAGCAAATCCAAGAATCCAATTGCGAAACTGAAATGGAGGAATTTGGAACGTTGTTGCGCCTGTTCATCACTTGATGTTGTTGCATTTGGATCTGAATTTTGTTGGGTTTGTTTCTTCCATATCGAGTTTTACTTTTAAAAGGCGACCGTTGTTGTTGTTTGTTTTGAAGCATTTTGTCTTTTGGAAAACGAGATTATATGCTTCAACAATACCTTGTTATTATTATTCTTAGACATGGCCTTGTGTGACCTTTAGTAATGCTGACCTAATTCGTTGCTTGTTAGAACACAGGGGGGCTTTTAGGCCCGTATTGTTTAGAAAAAGCTTACCCTCACGTTTTTTTTGGTACGCAATGGATGATGGGCCTTGTCTAAGCCCATATGATTCCACCTGTTAACACCCTCTACAGATTTTTATCCACCCTCTTTTTATTTAAACCTAATTTGTTTTTTTCTCTAAATTTATTGAACCATTGGATTTATTTGTTGTGAATCTATTTAATTTCTTCTACTTCATTCCATGTTGATTTTCTCATTTTATTTTTATTCCTCTTTTCTTTCCTTTTTTCGTTTTCAATTATCGGTCGATGAAGAGACCTCAAAACTATTATTTATCAAATTATTGATAAATAATAGTAAACCCGAACATAAATTATTAAAACTTTAAAAGAAATGGTTTGTGGGAGAAGGAGAGGACGAGGGCGGCCATGCTTGGTGCCACCGTCAACAAGCACTCTTACGGTGGCCATATCTGAACTACAAGTCACAGAAGAGGAAACTTCTGTGGACACTGAAGAGAGAAATGGCACAGTGGAAAATGGTAACCTGGTGGAGGAGAACATAAAGAATGCTTATGAAACCGAAGACCTAGGTCATCAAAGTACTGAAGAACGAATGGAGGTGGAAACTAGCCAAACGAAGAAACTATAGGTTGATATCATCAATGAGAATCGTAATCCGGCAAAGGATCTCACTATGGAATTCGTTGCCCCAAAGATTATTGATGGAGAAATGGAAATCCAAATTGAAGAGGAAGATGTTGAAAAGGAAGTGAAATTTTGGGAATCTGCCCTTATCATGTCTGCCCTGGGTGTGGACATCAGCATGAATGCGGTAAAACAATTTATGAGCAAGAGCTGGAATTTTGTGAAACTCCCTGATATATTCTATAATTAGGAAGGTTTCTTCATTCTCAGATTCCAATCGTTCTAAGACAAAGACCTAGTTTTATTTAAAGGGCCATAGTCAATCCGTAATAGACCAATGATGTTGCGTGAGTGGAAACCTGATTTCAGTATGAGCAAGGATATGCTTAGAACAGTTCCATTGTGGGTGAAACTACCCCAGCTACCCTTATATCTTTGGGGCGCGTGGAGCCTTAGTAAAATAGGCAGCGGGATAGGTACACCTCTGGTAACAGACGAGTGCATGGAAAATAAGCTCAGGGTTTCATATGCTCGTATCCTGGTGGAAATTGACATCACACAAGAGCTTAAGACACACATTCTGATAAGAGACGAAAAAGGGGAGCGACTGAACCAGCCGATTGAGTATGAGTGGAAACCACTTTACTGCCAACGTTGCCATAAGATGGGTCATAATTGTGATAAGCCTGCTAGACCTGCTAAACAATGGAAGATGAAAGTGAAGGACCAAGCACAAAAGGAAAGGGTGCAAGCCACTGCTAATCAAAGTGCAACAACAGCAACAGGGGACACTAGTAGAGAAACAACAGCAATAGGGAATGCTTGTACTGGAACAACAAAAACAGGGACAACTCATAAGGATATCCAACAGAATGATGAGGTGTGGACTAAGAGTACTAGCAATAGCAAAGGTAAGATCAAAGTTACTGCCAATGAGGATGACAACATCCATTGCCAAAATGGTTTTGGGCTGCTGGGGATTTTGAATGATCCTGGAAGTAGCCAACACACTAATCAATGCTAGTGTCTTGGAATGTGAGGGGCCTGAATAAAATGTTTAAGACTAAAGAGGTTAGCTCCCGCCTCCGTTCTCTTAACCCATTGATTTGTATTTTGCTTGAGACTAGAGTGAAGCAAGATAAGGCTGACAAAATTAGGTGAAAAATGAAGCTTAAGGGCTCATTTATGGATAACTATTATGATCATGCTAATGGAATAATTTGGATTTGGTGGAACCATGCTAAGACTGATATCAGGAAAGTCACTAGCACTGGGAAACTACTTCATTGTGGTGTTTATGAAGTGCAGGGTGATTTTCAATTCTGGCTCACAGCAGTGTATGGTGCAAACAGGCTGGATCATCATAAGAAGTTGTGGAGTGATATTGAACATATTAAACAAAACTAACATGGGCCTTGGTTCCTTATTGGTGACTTTAATAATGTAGTTCAAACTGTTCACAGAAGGGGAGGATCCATGGTGCAGATGAAAGAGTATGCTGATTTAACTGATATGATGAACAAGTGTAGCCTGAGTGAAATGGATACTGTTGGAGATTATTACACGTGGTCCAATCGGCAGGGTGACAATATCATTCACTCTAGGATTGACCATGGGCTGGCAAACATTGAGTGGTTTCAAAAATATATCAGTATGAGCCTTAAGATCCTTACCCTTGGCATTTCTGATCATGCACTACTGCTTCTTTCTGGCTCTGAAAACACTATGAAACGAACCTACCAGTTCAAGTTCCTGAACTATTCCACTGAGATTGAGGGATTCCAAGATTACATTTCCAATAGCTGGAATCTTCCTATCCAGGGTAGCCCCATGGCTGTAATGTGGAGGAAATTGCTTCGAATCCAAAATGTTGTGAAAAAGATTAGCAAGCCTTTGTTGGGTGCCACTGCTGCTCTCAAAAATGCTAGACAGAATTTACAAGAGGCACGGTTACGGCTCAGTGAGGACCTGGACAACCCTGAAGTCATTCACCTTGTTAAAAATAGATCAGCTGAGGTATGTTATTGGAGTGAAATTGAGGAACAGGTGCTTAGGCAGAGATATAAAATCAGTTGGCTCAGACTGGGAGATGGCAACAACAGGTTTTTTCATGCCCAGGTTAAATCGAGACAAACTAGTGGTGTTGTTACTGAGATGTGTTATGTGACAGGTGAAAGGATTACCAAGGCTGAGGATATTGAGAATGAGGTGTTGTCCTTTTATGGAAGACTCATGGGATGTCTTAATAATGCCTTGGAAGGCATAAACCTGACTGCTATGAGAGATGGCCCCCAAATTACCAATGATCAGAAAGATATGTTGGTTTTCCCCTCCACTGAAGCTGAAATTCATAGTGCCCTACAAGACATTGGTGACCTGAAAGCCCCTGGTGTTGATGGTTTTGGGGAAAAAATTTCAAAGCTTCTTGGAGTATCATTAAAAAGGATATCGTTGCTGTAGTGATGGATTTCTTCATCAATTTCAAGATGTACCCTGATGTCAACTGTACTCTTGTATCCTTGATTCCTAAAGGTAATGGTGGGAACTGTGTGAAGGACTTTCGACCGATATCCTGCTGTACGACTCTCTACAAAATCATTTCAAAGATATTGACCAGAAGGTTGAGCAAGGTTATTACCTGTATTGTAAGTCAAAGCCAAGCTGCCTTCATTCCTGGACAGAACATCCATGATCATATTTTATTAGCGTATGAGTTAATTCAAGGCTATAGCAGAAAGGGTGGTACTCCTAGATGTCTGCTACAGCTTGACATCCAAAAAGCCTATGATACCCTAGACTGGTATGCTCTTGAGTGTATTCTCAAGGAATTTGGTTTCCCTCACAAATTCACCAAATGGATTATGCTGGCAGTGTCAACAGTGTCGTACAATTTCAATGTTGCTGGCAGTGTCATTAGAAGCATGAAGGCGAAAAGGGGCCTTAGACAAGGTGACCCTATTTCCCCTGCTGTTTGTTCTAAATATGGAGTATTGATCTTAGCTTTGCGGATGATGTTCTTCTATTTACCCGTGGGGACAGCAAATATGTTCAGTTACTTATGGACCAATTGCAAACGTTCTCCCAGTCCACTGGTTTGGTGGTTAACCCTGCTAAGTGTAGGGTGTACTTCGGGGGGTGAATGTCGAGACCAAAAGCGACATCTTTGCTTCTATGTCGTTCATGGAAGGGGATTTACTTTTTCGGTACCTGGGTGTTCCTCTCACTTGTAAACGGCTTGCTACGCATCATTATATGAGTTTGGTGGACAGAATTGTAAGTCGGATTCATCATTGGAGTTCCAAGTTACTGAGCTATGCGGGAAGGCTTCAACTGATCAATAGCACCATTACTGCTATGGCAGCATACTTGATGAGTTGCCTTTCCTTTCCCAAGCATGTGATTAAAACCATTAACTCTATTTGCAGGACGTTTATGTGGACAGGCAGCAAGGAGAAGTCGAGAAAATCCCCAATTGCGTGGAAAATGGTCTGTAAGCCGCGGAGAAAGGGCGGTATGGATGTGGTGGATTTATCAGATTGGAACGCGGCCTGTTTAACAAAGTTGTTGTGGAACCTTTGCAACAAAAAGGACTCTCTTTGGGTGAAATGGATCCACGCGTGTGAAAGGTGTTCTTAAACATAGGGCATGTCTTGGATTGTAAAAGCTATTCTTAAACATAGAATTATCATTTATGGCATGGATGATTGGAACGGAATGACGGAGAAATACTCGGTGGGAAAGGTGTACATGTCCCTCAAGAAGGATGATCCTGATGTTGGGTGGAAACACATGTTATCCAACAATATTGCTAGACCGGGAGCCTGTTTTACTATGTGGATGGCTTGCCACCGTCGACTTGCGACAAGAGGACGGCTCAAAAGACTTGGCCTTACAATTGATGAAAGCTGTAAATTCTGCGACAAGGAGGAAACAATGGACCATCTTTTATTCGATTGTCTGCCGTTTAAAACCTGTTGGCAACAGATTCTGGTATGGTTGGGATATCAATACTTCCTTTATGATTGCAGTGAAGCACTTGAGTGGTTAATTGCACATTATAAAAGGAAAGGCTAGAGGAAGTGCATTCTGCGTAGCTCTGTAGTGGAAACCATCCATGAAATTTGGAGGTATCGCAACAATATCGTCTTTGGCAATACGATGAATTTTTTGGAGATTAGAGAGTTAGTCACTTCTACCCTTGCAAATAGAGGGTGGGTTAATACTAGTATGAGACATCATATAGCTCAATTACTTTTAGAGTAGGTGGGTTTTTTGGTTGTTTTGTGGGTGGGGTCATTTATACCCTTGTATATTCCTCTTTTTGATTTATATAAAGTTCTTTATTCCAAAAAAAAATAGTAAACCCGAGATCGACTTTCTTTTCACATATTTCATTTTCGATTTTTATACATTTTTATCATTGTTGGGTTAATGACGAAACATAAAAGTCGCCATTAGTCAAATTATTGATAAATGGCGATGAAACCGAAACAAACTTCTTTTCTATTTCTTTTTTTTCTTTATTTTCGATTTTTATTTAATTTTCTTTGATCTATGAAGTCTTTCGATTCGTAAGCGTCGATTTATTGAAGTCGATAACCTTCACAATTTCAAATCTATGGAAAATGACCATTTGGGTCATTTTCTTTACTTTGGGATCGTGATAGGCTACCTTTGACTAGTTGATATTAGTTTGTGATTAAGACGAGATCCCACCTTTTCTTTAGTCCGTGCAACCCGATTAAATTGGAGAACGGTTCTCAATATCATTTCTCTATCTTGCTTTTAGCACGGATATGAATTTACGTGACCTATTATAGTTCGAATTTCATCATAAGTCAAGCTACGATGGTTTAGTGTTACATCTCGTCCCGACTCAATTCATAACAAACTAACAACTAACCTTTACTTTCTATCAAATATCAACTGTTTTACTTTCTGTCGAATATCAACTGCTTTAAATTCAATCATTATATCTTGTATATTATTGTGGATATTATTGTTATATTATCTTATCATATTATTCATAATTGCCATATTCATACTCATTCTTCATTCTTATTCATACGTATTCGAAAATACTTAATAAATGATCGAAAAGCTAAAAGCCTAAATTGGTGGATTGTTAGATCATTGGACATTTTCAGGAACCCTAGCATTAGATTTGTGCCTGACTTTCGCTTAAGGCTTAGTTTAGAACACATTGCACACACACGAATTTCTCTTGGGCTACCTGATAATGAGACCTTT